TTTGCACTGTTTAAGTACAGGAGAAATGCAACTGACCTGGATCCACTTCTGCCACCTAGCCAGCCAAGTGAAGTTTGCCTTCAGGAGGCAGATGCTGTCAAACTACATAGGTTTTAGTAAACTAGTACTAGCATTCCTCATTGCTGAGGAACTACAGGAAGACAGGCACACAGCTATGGCAAGAAGTTCTGGCATTACATCAAGTATCAGTATACATTGCAGCATACTTACCAGACCTTTACAGAAGTATGGCAGCATTAATGAAAAAAAGTATACATAATTTAGTGATCATAGCTACTATAAAGCATTCTTGAAAGTTAGAACATGCCATGACTGCAGAGAGGCTAGAGGAAGCATGGTGGGTGGAAGAGTAGTAGCTGCATTGTGAAGCTGCTTAGCCAGTTATACAGTATGGAGAAAGGAAAGCTTCCTTCACTCAGCTTCTCTAAGAGCATGCATTTCACCAGTAATTACTTGAACTTTGTTCACCTTGACAGACCTCCTTCCTCTTCCTGGCTTGGTACTTTGTGGTGGTGGGCTAATTGTTACAGACTCATGTGACATGAGCTGGATATTGCTTTCTGAATCCAGCTTTACTCCATTCTGCAGAGTTACTCCTTTGGAAGGCCCTTCCACAAACAGGTTTGATGGGGCTTTAAGAAAGCCATTCTGTTCTCTCTCTGGTACCCCATTTGGAGTTCTTGCTGCAGGCAGTTTACTCTCAAATGGCCACTGACTTGTGAGTGCTTCTCGTTTGCCAGTTCTATTAGAAATCTGGTCAAACCATTTACCAAAGTAGTCAATATCACTATTTGAAGCACCATTACCCACTGGTGTCAAGGTACCCAGACCTTCCTTCTTCTGATCGGCAGATTCTAGAGAATCAAATGAAGGCTGTGCAGATTGGTCTGGTGGTGCAAAAGGATCATCACTGAAAGGGTCTGGATTAGGTGTGGGAAAGAAGCTGAGATTGGCAGAAAAAGAAGTCTCAGGCAAGAAAGGTGGCTGTGACTTTGGTTGTGGAAGAGAGGTCGTGATGCCATTCAAGAAGAGATCCTCTTTTGTAAAAGTCTGTTTGGTCTCAATTTCAGAGTTTAGATCCACTAACAGAATCTCTTTAGTTTCAGTTTTTGTTCAGAAGGAAAAATAGAGTTAGTTTTTCATATTACTTGTTTCATAGTACAAAAAAAAAAAAAACCTTTTTTTTTTTTTTAAAAAAAAAGGTAGCCTTGGCAGGCAATACTTCACTCAAAGCAAATACTAGATCAGTATGAAGTTATATGGCTTGTAAAACTAAGCTTTAAGACATGCACTGAAAACGCTCATGAGATCAAGGCTGCTCAGTTTCAGAAACTCAGTGTTAAAAGCACCAGTTTTAAGATTCTTTAGTTTGGTACAAGACTTTTACTGTCTAAAGGTTAGATAATCATTAAACACTAATTATACTTAAGCTTTTGCTGCAATCAAGTACACCCATTCGAGTTCTAGTCCTTTGTTTTAGTAAGCTGCAGTCACAATAAGACAACATGATTTCATAAGCTAGCACAGCCTGGCCTTCAGAGCAAGATTAGAAAGCTATTCACAAGTGGAAAAAGTTACATTCTGTCTCTCCACCAAGCAGGACCTAGAAGAGCACCAGGACTGAGTCACTTGCTAGAGTGACACCTATTGCAACAATGACTAACAGAGAATTGTCTCTTTGCCAACTAGTCCCAAGTAAGCTCTGATGGCTAAGTCAAAAGTGGTATCAACTACTCCAGTTAGTAAGTAGGTCCTATTATAACTCTAACGCACTGGTATATTGATCATAGCTAGGCAAGTGTCTTGGTGAGACCAGAACTAACTTGGTGAGACCAGGACTGACAAAGTCAAAACAGATTTTAGCAGTAGGACCATTTTTACTTTGAGGAAGCTTTAGACAGTTAAGCTAGGCTCTACTTACTGTGGGACTGCTCATATCAGGAAGTGTGGACATATCCCCAAACAAGTTCATCTGGTTAATTCCCTTGAAACCAGAAATATTGAAAGAATTTGCATCTGCTCTTACATGAGCAAGAATTAAGCATTAGGCAGATCTACTGCAAGCATAAATACCTATTTTCCCTATAATGGGGAGATGGTGAGTTAAAAACTCCTTAATAGGATCAGCATAAAGCTCTACAATTTCACTTACCAGTTTCAGTTTGTCAGCCTGATCAGCAGGTAGTGCTTCATTACCATTCTAGATTAGATGGACAACAGTGTCAGTGATGAGAGGAGTATCAAAACTTGCTCATCTAAGTACGAAAGTCCCTTGTTTAAGGCAAGTAATACAGAAGTGAAATATGGGAGATCACTACTCAGAATTAATTCTATAGATCCCTTTTAATCCTATTTCCAGTGGAACTTTCCAATGGGCATCTAACACTGCCTCTATATACTGCTAGCGTATAGAGAAGTCAAGACTAGCAGGGTCACAGCAGCATACATTTTCAAGAGAAGCTGAGCCAAAGTTCAACTTACCTCAGTCTTATTGACTTCTTCACTCCGGAGAGGAAAAGAGGATTTTAGCATCTGTATGTCAAGTAGTTTATTCAGAGTCTTTTGCTTTCAATACCTTACCAGATGTGTGAGGTCTTCAAACTGTTGGTATTAAAACTATTAATCACTGACCTAAAACAACCCCAGGCCTAGATATCAAGACTTTAATATCAAGTCTCACAAGAGCCAACAAGCAAAGTCAGAGCTGCAACAGGCTTTACATTTATATAAGCTAGATTAGTTTATATAAGTTTTACTTGCCTTTTTCTTGTCTTCCTCCTCCTTTTTCTTTGTATTATATATTAGCTGGAAGAGGTCCTTAAGATCAACAACTAGAGGCTCAGCCTGAAGTAGAAGGAAAAGATTTTAGGCCATGTGCTATACTGCAGCTTGCTTCAGAAGTCCAGTGAGCCATAAAAGTACAACAGTAAGGTTGATAGATACAAGGAAAGCAAGAGTCTAAAAGATGATGCATTTTCTGCATAGAAGAGAACATGCAGTGTCCATGGATAGCAAGGCACAACAGGCCCAGAACAGTTATCAATTGTTACTGTACCTTTTGTTAAGCTTTTTTTTGGTGAAGGAAGGAATGCTAAAAGCAGGTAGTATAAGGTTTCATATGCACCTGACAAGGCCTTACCCTGTTTCCTCAAAAGTGCAAAGCTATGTGGTAAGAGTCTCACAAGAAAAATTCAAGTTGGTCATCCCTCTATTCCAACACTGGTCCTGGAGAAAACTTTTATAACTAATCCTACATTTAAACAGGGTTCAAATGGCTTGTCAGTGAGGCAGGCATAAGGTAGGACTGCCACAGCCTCAAATGCTTGAAAGAGACACCAGTTTGAAACAGTATCTGTATCAGAATGAAAGTCTAGAGTGACCAAGAAAGGAGTGGTAGCTCCTGCCTAGAGGGGGCCCTGTTCGAGTCACTTATTCACAATCGGCTGGAATGGTTTGTGCTGTTGCTGAGATGGTGGTAGGTTAAGCCATATCACTCAACTGATTTGGGAGTGTTGCTTGAGGCATAAAGCAGCTGTATCAGTGTCTAGAACAGGACAAGTCCTGTTCAGGCACTAGGGACACCTTTGACTTGATACTCACAGGTAATGTGAGACCTGTCCAGCAGATCCTTTGACCATTTTCTTACTCAAGGATTCTAGATACACAATTCCAGGGGGAGAGATTTCAAGAGTTGATTTCCACAAGCAGTATAGCTGCAGCAGTCTAGAGCTATTGAAGTTGAGCTTAGTCCCCAGCTAGAGAAGTTTGGGTGTTAGAAACAGCAAGTAAAGACATCTATAGTTTGGTTATTCAGTATTGTAGTTAACATCCAGCTACAGAAAGCCATTCTAATAGTTTAGTCCTTTCTCTAGAGAGGGGCAATAGACATCAACTATATGGCAATGGCTTTTCATCTTGTTCACCTTAATCTTTGAAGTCTACAATTAAAACACTTCATGTTCTTGCTTACCACGATTAATTTTGCTGAACTTATCTATATCTAGTGGAAGCCATTAGCAAGATAAACTGGAACCATCTGTGCTGATGTTCCCCTACATCTTATACAGCTACAAGTAAAACTCTAGACAGATTAATCAGTTGTTAAGTTTTCATGCTATATTTCCCTACCTGCTGTGCTGTTTTTATTGCAAAAAAATGGTGTTGGCCTTCTCCTCCACAAATATAGCCAAAGGCCCGGTTGTCTGTTACATCCCGAGCAATAAAGGAGATTTTGTTCACAGGATGCTCACGCTCTATAACCTAGAATCAGGAAAAAAAATAAGTACCTGTTTGAACTGCAGAAGACACTACAGCTGCCCTTCTCTATAGCCCAGGTGAAAGACTCAGATGCCTCCAGTTTAAGATTAATTTTTCAGGTTTTCATAAGCCACAATAGGATGCTGGAGTCTCCTGACAAAGATAACCATGTTACAACCTATTCCCCTTCCAGGGTCTCAGAGGGGGGCCCCCCTCCATAGTGCCATTAGGCACTAGTTTATGTTAGTCTAGCTCCCAAGTTGCTCACTTTTTTGAGCCACATTATAACAATGGAGTCATTTCTTACCCCAGTTTTCTCATCCATTATCTTGATACCAGAGAGAGAGATGTTTAGCCATATCTTCTGTTTGTGCTGACCCTGGGAACGGGCTGCCACTGCCATTCCCTGGAGAACACCAATATTGAAGTACTGATGAGAATTCAGTTATGTTTTGTGCCTTAGTTTGCGTCCTTAGCTCCTTATGAGCCCATATTGTGTCTCTATTAGAGTTATTCCAGTTACTCCTATGCAACTCTGTTGTTAGAATAGCATTACGCTTGCAACATGCTTGACTAGATTAGAAGCAACAACTCAGAACCAGATTAATTTTCCTTTGTTAAAGAGCTTTAAAACTTCCTATCTTAGTTCACAAGACTGCTGCAGCAGTTGATACAGCCTCCTGGCCTGAATGAAGCTATGTGAGGATTCTGCTTTCCAAAAATAGAGTTATCTTTGTTGCTGCAGTTTCCCGTTTATTTTTTTATTCATCTATGTCACCAAATGTCTACATTGCCATAGTATATCAGCTTGTGTTTTGCATTCTTATATAAAGTTGTCCGGAGTTTCCTGCCCCTCATCCAAGTGTGGATAAAGTCCACACTTGAGCACCCAATATGAATAATAATGAGACCCATCATTATGGGAGCATTTCAAAGACATTAAAGAGGCTTGATGAACTGCTTTAAAAAAAAAATCACTGTCCTTTGAGCAACAGGTTACAGATTTAGAGGCAGCTTCTATCTAGGGTACTGCTGTTACTACCATTAAGCCATAGTTTACAATTGTCTCAAAATGACCATTTGATCTGCTTTCTGGGAGCTGAACAGAACATATTCCTCACATTACCAGCTCAAGCCTTTACCTTCAGCTTCATGATTGAATCCTGACTCATTTTGTCTCCTCTTGCTTCTGGCATCAATGCCAATTAGTTTAGCTTTGTATCTTACACCATCACCTTTGAATCTAGCCGAGAGAGATTCATCTGTCTTTCCTGACCCTGGAGATATAGAAAAGTTTTTTAAAAAGTCTAAGTTGTGGTTTAGCGTTTATTACAAAAAAAATACATCTGCTATTAGTATTTAAAATTGTCTCTTAACCATAACTTACTTTGCAATTAGACCTTCCAGCAATGCATACACAACAAGGTAAGTTTTTACTCCTTTAAAGTCATAGCGCTCTTGCAGAGTTCAGGCTCTCTCCAAAGAGTGGATCCCAATGCTTAATATTTGGGGACCACATGAAAGCATTTGTCACACGATGGATAGAAGACTTAGAGATTTATAGGGATCACCCAGTTAGTTATGATCACTAGGTAACAACACTAGAAGTAGTACTTATGCCTGGCTGAATGTTGAGTAAATCTTTCAGATGCCAGTCCCTTATTTGTCACATCTAATGTTCATCTAGGTGGCCTAGTACAGTCACAGCTCTTCTTAGCCTGTATCAGTTTAGCTAAGCACTGTGCTAGAACTTTCCATCAGTATTGTTAGCTCTAAAACGAGTCCCAGCACCTCCATCCCAGCAATAACTCAGGATTTTGCTGTATTTGCTGTCTCCCTGTTCCTTCTACTTTCCTGAACTCCTTTGTTTTCCTTTCTGAATACCCAGCATACTTAGTGGGTACCTAGATTTTCTGTACCAAGGTGTTTGTATGACCTACCCTATCCAAAGTCTATTATCTGATTTGCAGATTTCTCCAGCTTCTCTGAACATAAAACTGTATGCATGCAGCATGTCACACCTCACTCCCTCTTGGGCAGGGAGCACATCTGATCACAGGTTCACACTGGCAGCTACCTGGATACTGCTGGGAAAGGAGCTACCTTGTAGGAAGCCTTTCATTTCCTCCGACTCTCAATGGCTTGTTAAAGCCCCTGAGCCCGACTATAAGAACAAGAGTCAGGAACTAAAACCTAGAAAATGCTTTCAAAGGTTAAAGCCTGCCTTCTGGTTAGATTTTACTAGTTTATTTATTCATTCCTTCAGTCAGCATGAAACCTCAGAGTTCCTGTCACTATGAGTCAGATCCTAGATTTAGGCAAGTACAAGAAGTTTAAGGAGACCTTTATAAAAGAAGTACTCAAGTTCCCTACCTTTCTTTTCTTCTTTCTTTGAAGCCTGTGTTTTTGGTGGAGCCTGCTGCTCAGGCTGGCTGCTGATATGAGTA